CTTTTTAGTTTGTTTGATTTCTCGTTTGCTTGTTCGTTCATATTGATGCAAACCTGCTAACTGTACTAGGCTACTGCTTTCTGCTAACACAGCCTTTGTTGCCCAATCACATTCCATGAGCTGATCTGAGCCCTACCCGTTTGGAGAGGTATTGCACATCGGGTTTTCGACGACAAAGACTCAGTTTCCTTCTGAACATTATCGTTGTGGTAACTTTGATGCAGAAACGTACAGGTGCGAACAAAAGTGTGCAGACCACGGGATCGCGTGGCAGAGTGCATCGACGCGCCAGCTAGCGACGAGACACGACGAGACACCTGCTGCAGGGCGCATGCGCGTCCATTCTTATCACCTGGCTTCTCATGTCACTCTGTCGGACACGGTTACGGCGCTCGTAGCCAAAACGACAACTGAGTGCCGCTTTCTTTGCTTCATCTAATCTGTGCCGTTCTTTTACGTAGCAGCTGCGACGGGGCTGGTTCAAGTGCCGGCTCGCGTTATTATTGACACCGGTTGATTAGCATCAGTAGGCATAGCGAGCATCGCACAACCTGACAAAGCAAAACGCACAAAATTTAATTTTCTCTGGCCAGCTGGCCTTTGTCGGGCTAAACCAAGTTGCACTTAAATAGGCTTTGTTAAGTCAAAGTCAATGTAGCCGAAATTAATAAATGTAGTTGAGCACTTTATGAACTAAATGAGGCAGGCGTAAGTAGGTTTAGTTAAGCCCTGTTCATCTTGGTGTTTTCATGATAAGCGAAGTTAGGTTTAGATGAGCCCAGATGTTTTGAAATAAGCATAGCCAAGCTTAATTAGTCAAATTTGACCATGCTCATCTATAACCTAGCCGTGCAAAATTGGCCTATACAAGGCAAACCGTATCGCGGCCAATTAATCTATGTCGACTTCCTTATGAGAGCACAGAAGTCAAGGCCAGGAAGATACTAATTACTATTTACCGATTCCATACGAATTAGGATAATTTATGTCAAATTAGCGCTACCTATTATGAATACTAATTATGACTGGATATTAGTCTTAAATTCAACCCTGTACTGGAATATAATGTGACATAATTAGGCTAAATATGCATAAGTAACCTGATTAGGCAAACACCAAGGTAACTATGAAAAATACATTAAGCTTAGTAGGCCCTAGAATCATCAAACCAATTGGATTATAATAAGCTTTAAATGAATAACATATTACTAAAACAAATAATTAACCTAATTGAAGTCGAAATCTCATGAGCCTCGAAAATCCTAGCTCAGCAAGATGCTGATTATTCCTGACTGAGCCGAGTCTCATTTACCTAAATATAGATCCAATTACCCTTAACATTATTTATGAATATTGCTGAATAATGTGCGTGACATAGGAGCACACCCGAAGTACTCGAGTTCGATGTCGGAGAATTATGCAAATCATGCCTTGATCCGCCTAATATAGACATCTGTTGCTGTATAGGATGTTTTTGATAGTAAAGGTATTCAATTTCGTTATATATTCACGTTTGATTAATTTGGGCTATATTAACTTCACTTAACTAAGCTCATTTAAGTGCAACTTGAATTACCTGACAAAGGCAAGCTGGCCTGAGAAAATTTGTGCATTTGGCTTTGTCGGGTTGTCTGATGCTCGCTATGCTTATTCATCCTGATCAGCCGGTGTCAATAACAACACGAGCCGGCGTTCGAACCGGCCCCGTTGCAGCCGCTACGTAAAAGAATGGCACAGATTCGATGGAGCAAAGAAAGCGACACCCAGTTGTCGTTTTGTCTACGAACGCCGTACCCGCGTCGAACAGAGCGACATGAGAAGCCAAGTGATAAGACAGGACGCGCATGCGCCCTGCAGCAGGTTTCTCGTCGTGTCTCGTCGCTAGCTGGCGCGTCGATGCATTCTGCCACGCGATCCCGTGGTCTGCACACTTTCGATCGCACCTGTACATGCTGAGTACAATATAAGCTCAGATAATTGGAGTCCCGTGCTGTAAGATATCTACCGGGGTTTATGACTAGGGAAATTGATCCATCGAAGTGCGTGTTGCTGTATAATGAAATTTACTTGGCAGCGTAGGCGCGCGCAGGGTTCCCCTTCAGGTGGAGTGGGTAGGGGCGAAGAGTATGGTCGCAGCACCAACCCCCTCTCATTTACACCAATGTATGCCCCCCTCCCCCCGAGTCGCAGCACCTTCTTCCTAATTTGTCGATGTGGTTGACTGGCGTTGCACCCCCCTTTTTTGCCCTCGTCCTTTGAGCACGCTTATGCTTGTCCCATTTGAATCCACAAACGAAACAAGATGAATTAAATGGCAGTTAGCAATGATTACCGCGCATACGCTAGCACAGTTTTACGCAATATTCAGCAACGAGGAAATCGATTCGGGGCATGTCAGATGCATCCCGCGCGGGTGGGTCGAAATCGAAAGGCCATAAAAGGCGATGTTTCCGCGCTCAGATAGTAGCTGCAATCATCGCTTAACTTGTCACTGGTAAGTTCACACGAGCTGGCGCAGATAGATTCCACGTCGGATGACATCGCCAGCTTGCTTTTCGCGCGAGGCACGTGATCTATGTTTGCGCCCTGACCTGCCGTGGCGAGGTGTAGCGGATCTCGTGACGTCATCGGCAACGGGTTCTCTTGGCGTCGTCCCATACCCATAACGGATGACGAAGCAGCTCCCTTTTTCGGTTTTGGTTTCAACTCACCGCTTATTCCTTAATTGAAATAATTGACGTGTGCCTGGGGGCAAAAGTCAACCCCTCTAGGTTTTGTAGAACTGCCAATACTATGTGAAAACAGCATTATCTCAATATGGTCGAAAATGCACCAGTGTTCTCCTTTAAGTTTTGCTTTCCATTCCGGTTGTTTGAAATGACCTGCTCCTGCAACTATAACTCACAAAGTGCCCACGGAGGAATCCCCGTCAACCAAAAGCACAAGCTAGTTTAAAGAGAAGATGCACTGCCCTTGAAAAAGGAGAAATGGGCGAGGGTGGCATTTTCTGTCCCTATCACGAGCCACGGAGAGCAGATGTGCCACCGAAACGTCGTTAGCCATCCTCTCTTTGTGCTGCTAATTGAGACGCTTTTCCGAGCCTCCTTGGCATTTCGTCCGTACACTTTGACAGAAAACGCTGCCGATTGGTAGCAGATGGTCCCGAGAAAACTCGAGTTAAATATTAGAGCACAACACGTGGCCTAGAATTCACAATAAATTATTAAAGTCAGCTAAAAATTGCTTTCTTTTCTCTCGACAAATGACGGAAGACGCTGGAGAATCACTCGTAGAAGGCCTTCTATTAGGCATTGGCTCATTTGAACATGGCGCGCTTGGTCGTTAAAGGGATCGCCACGGAAGGCCACGACTTCTCCACGTGTGCGCTCTCGATCACACTGAAAAAGCTGCGTATTCGAAGAAAAAAGGTTGAAAAAAAGTGTTAATGACTACTGGTCATTCCTTACGGCGTAACAGTGACTTCCAAAACATCACTTTTCTTCATGACAGTGTTGATTGATTGATTTGTGGGGTTTAACGTCCCAAAACCACCATTTGATTATGAGAGACGCCGTAGTGGAGGGCTCCTGAAATTTTGACCACCTGGGGTTCTTTAACGTGCACCCAAATCTGAGTACACGGGCCTACAACATTTCCGCCTCCATCGGAAATGCAGCCGCCGCAGCCGGGAATCGAACCCGCGACCTGCGGGTCAGCAGCCGAGTACCTTAGCCATCAGACCACCGCGGCGGGGCTTCATGACAGTGTTACCAGAACAAATGAATTTAATTAGACGTGCCTTCAGAAACCTCCATAAAAAGTTACTGGACTGAAGTTCGGATTGACCAAACACCAGTAGGTAATCTGGTTTCTGTATTTGTTGTGAATAGTTAAGAAATTCAACCTTAATTCGAGTAATTAAGAAACATGATCAGCTAGGCCTACCAAAAGATATTACGTAGTTAAGTCATGGCACAGTAACTACTCATTACAAGACGCTACGCCTCATCTAAATGTGCTCACAAAGAACTTTTCGATTGATGAAAGAAAATATTATTCATCGGCACCAATACCTAAAATGTTTTATTCACTTATTAAACGTTGAGATATTGCTACGGGGGCTAAATGATTGTAATTTGTTGATACGTATAAAGAAAAAGAACCTGGCTGCGCTAGCGCAACCGAATGCAAATATTACAAATAAGAAATTCAGTATTGAACGCTTGTTTAATACTATTCGTGCGTAATTACAAACTGTTAATCAGCAGACTATACAACATATTTATTTCATTCCGCTAATTAGCACAGCAGTTTTCAAGTGAAAATACAGTGTATTCTTCATGAACAAAATCAGTTCGCTAAGCAGAACATACAGATATCCCTGACAAAGAATGTTTTGTTTTATTTTTTGTTACTTAACTGCACGTGAATTATACGATCGCCTAAAAGTCTGTCTGTCTAAAATTTTTCGAGTAGCCCTGCTGTAGATCATTGTCCTTAGTGGTGTCGTGAGGGTGTGCTTGGACCGTCAGAACACTTTCTTCGGCAAACTATCGCCATGTATGTGCTGTCACTATCGCTGTTTTCGACAAGGATGCGCCCCATAGTAAACAAACGCATCGGTTTGTTGTTGCGGCAGAAAGTCCGAAGTCTCCACACGACACGATGCCTCCCAACTTGCTGCTACGCTCAGAAGACGCGGAGACATCGACGTTCACGATTTCTACCCTTTGCTCCCATAGCGTTATCTGGTCGCCTTAGATGGTCTCACTTAGCCCGCGTGCCTTTCCACTGTTTGCTCCAGCTCCAAGCGGACAATCGGAGCAGGTTCCGGGCCTTAGAACTCAAGAGGGGCTCGTTGATATCGGCTACCAAGAAAAACAGAAGCGGCCGCTGTTTCGCCCCCTTGCCCTTCCGGTCAGTGAGAATTGGGTCGTGAGTGGAGAGAGAACGACTGCGAGAGGACCCGGGGAGAGTGAGAGAGAAACGGGGCGAAGGAAAACGTGAGGGCGACTAACAGCTGCCGGGCGCGTGGACCAAAGGACGTGCAACGCCGTGCGGCGCGTAGCATATTCTGACGCAGTATACAACGTGCGTTTCAGACCCTCCTTATTTCGTTCGACCGACACTGGGGACATGCCGTAACTGCATCTTTCTCCCACCGCTACTAGGTGGACCCTACACGTGATATCTTTTCCTCGAATAGGTGAGTGCTCCAAATTGCTAAAACGTAATATATGGCTCAGCCCTTGGCGAAATGAACGAGTTTCTTTCACGCGAGATCGCTTCTAATATTTGGGTACACCCATGCGTCGGCGTCGATTGTGTATTGTAGAGCTTTCAGTTGGCAGAAATGCTCAAAATATCGTTCATTTAGCCGCTGCGTCCACTTTGTCCTTTATTCAGTCACTCTCCGGAAGTAAAAAAATGCCTTTTGCGGCAGCGGGAAGGTAGAGAATCGGTGAAAAGTAGCGTTAACAAAATGACTCACTGCTTCTGAGCATGTTTGTAAACTGTCACGGAACGTACAGTTGTGACACCTACCAATGTTTATTCATATAGCATGTATATCAGGTGCATCTCAGTTAATCACTGTGTTTAGATTTGGAGATAGGCTTTGAGATCGTCGTTCCAGTTTAACTAAGTTGACAACAAAATGGAATTTCTGTCTTGGGCAACCTTTGAAGCTCTGCTGAGCTCTCTAAAACAAGTCAACATTCTATTGGTTAGAGAACAGGCAACACAATTTTTCAAACGATTTTATGAATGAATGAGGTAGCTATAATAGCTGTTTTTTATCAGTTCTGTTGTCATATAATAATATCAGGTACCTATTAGGTATTTGTAAATACACAGCGTACCCAGTTTTATACAATATGACCCCGCCGCGGTGGTGTAGTGGCTAAGGTACTCGGCTGCTGACCCGCAGGGCGCGGGTTCGTATCCCGGCTGCGGCGGCTGCATTTCCGATGGAGGCGGAAATGTTGTAGGACCGTGTGCTCAGATTTGGGTGCACGTTAAAGAACCCCAGGTGGTCTAAATTTCCGAAGCCCTCCACTACGGCGTCTCTCATAATCATAGAGTGGTTTTGGGACGTTAAACCCCACATATCAATCAATCAATCAGTTTTATACAGTATGGAAGTTGTGTACTGAACCAGGGAATATTGAGCGGCAGCACGTGAAGGATCGCTTACAAATCGTACGCTTCCTGATTTGTATTGTACAGTGAAGTAACGCACCTTGAACGTGTACAAAAGGTACAAGAAGGACATGCAACTCGCTACTAAAAAGTGAAGAGCTCACCCAGACTGACACAAAAAAAAAAATACATTTTGCGCTCAAGGGCTCACTGTCTCGTTTGAGTTGTGGACACCGCCACGAGTGAGCCACGGAGTCGGCGAAGTGCGATTCTTTTGCACGGGCCGCAGGAGGGGATGAGACCTTCGTCTCGAGCCTGTAAGGCCGCAGGGAAGACCACAGTTCCCGGAATGCCGTCGTTTGCTTTTGAAGCCGCTCGGTGAAGAGAGGCACCCCGCGGCGCGCCATGGCTTTCCGGGCCATCTGCCGGTATAGAATGTCTTTGTGTCGGTGTCCGAAACGGCGGGGAAACTTGGAAGAAAGAGAACGGACTTGGGAGTGGGGCAGGAAGGACGTAACGAGGTTTTCCCTTCGAAACACACCCCTTCGCATTGTGCTTGGAAGGCTCACAGCGGAATCTTCAGTCATCCTCCTGCTGTGCTCTGAATTAGGCGTTATAATTGAATCATCTTTCATACAAAAGCATTGCAGTTCAACATTGGATAGATTGCACTTCTTGACTGACAAAATTAAAAAACTGAATCTGTTAGCGCATGTCTAGATGTGTTGTTTGTGTTGGTTTTTGTGTGCTGCCATGAACCAACATTAAACGTCTTCGTTTGTACAAAATGGTTGTGCATCTTTCTGGCCAAATTCACGAATCACGATACGTAAAACCACAAATAGGGACATTCACTCGGACTAAGACTCACCGAAGTTTTCCTCAACCGGTTTCAATCAAACTCAGACTCACTAAAAGCTTCCTCAACCGGAGTCACTCACACTCGAACTTCCCGAAAGATTACTCCACCGGACTCTCCCAAACTTATACTAACTTATGGCTCGGTCTCAGTCCGAGTAAATCTCAGTGAGTCGACTCATGAGCTAGTGTGGTGTCCTTTTCGTCCCTTTGTCATCATTCAAAATGCACTACTTTACCATGCGGCATAATGATCAGTCACCGACTAGCCTAAATATCGGCATTATGGTTCGACCCTTGCCAGAGATGAATGTGCCACCACAGTATTGGGACAATAAAATGAAAGCCGAAGGGATAGCCTCCACAACGTCGTAACAGCTGTGAACACTTAATGATGCCATGCGTTTCACGAAATGGCGCAGCTCATTCTCCCTCTCCTTTTCTGTGTCCGCAGACCCGCTGGTCGCTCGACCGGGGAAGAGCCATGAGTGCTCTTCTCGAGATGCTCGCCCGGTTCTGGGACTGGCGATGGATCTCCACAGCGCTGGTCTTCGTTGTATCCTACTTCGTCGGCCGTTTCTACCACCGGGTGTCCAAGTACCCCAGGGGGCCGTTTCCTTTCCCGCTGGTTGGGAACCTACTGAGCTTGAGTAAGTGATTTACGGCGCCATTTCTAAACGGTTACGATCAAGACACGCATTGCAAGTAATCCGCTGGCAATCAATGCAATTTTCCCAATCTTGCAGAGGTCTCTTTTCTTAATGACCTCTCAGTATATCTTGGTGTTTCTTTTCCTCTTTTTACACGACCGGTATTGTACTATAAACTGAAACCATCTTTCCTAATATTTTCCGGTGAGTGCTTCTTCGAGCATGTCTATCTACGTGAATAGGAAAATATAGCACAAACAAATCGCGTTCATCGCAGGTTTTTACAAGGTCAACTTCCCGAGCAAGGCAGCCGAATTGGCCAAGGTGTACGGAGATGTATTCACACTGTGGATGTCGCACAGGCCCATGGTTATGCTCAGCAGCTACGATGTGATTCGTGAGGCGCTTCTCAACCGCAGACACGAGTTCGCCGGGCGCTTTCCAACTAAAATGGGTGAGTCTGAATTAGCGTTGCCAACCATTTTTTGAGGTATTGGCATTGCTTAAATGGACGGAAGTGTCCGTCAGTCCATTCGTTCTTGCTTATCGATCCGTGCAACCGTCCGTGCGTCAGTTCGTGCCTCCGTGCGCCCGGCCGTCTGTCTGTGCGTCCGTTCGTGCATCTGTCTCTCTCTCCGTCCATGCGTCCGTCCGTCCATCTAGTGAACACTCCAAGTTCCGCCATATTGCATCTTTTCATAATATATTCACGATATAGAAGTACACCTATCCAGTGGACATTCCATGGGTTAAAGGAGAGGTGGCTACCTACTACTACTACTACTACTACTACTACTACTACTACTACTACTACTACTACTACTACTACATACATCATGGACGCACGACCCACAGCATAAGGATCTTCGCCCCTCTAAAGTTCTGGCTACACTCATGGGCTGTGGCAAGTCAAGAGCGATGCAGATGAGCAGACTACGTAGGCGAACTTCGAGTAAAAGTGAAGAAAATTTAAGTGGAAGCAGCAAAAAGAAGTTAACGCTCCAGGGATGCGTCTGCAGGTAGAATCACATCTCCACGCTCCTTGTCTGTGACCTTGTCGTCGTGAAGGTCGACTGCACCGCGCGTCCGCGGAAGTATTGCGACATCGTCGAGCTCATACGTTTCAATCTTTAGGATGTTTTCTTATGTTAGTCGTTACTTTCATAATAATTTACTAATTCAAATTTTGTTACTGATTACTAATTACCGCTTTTGATATTTCTTTTTCTCGCGTGTACTTCGTTTTCCTTCTAGTCTTTCTTCCCCATTCCGACTCCCCTTAGTGCGGGGTGGCAGACCGGATGCTACAATTCTGGTTGACTTCTCTGCCTTTTTCTCGAATCATTCTCTCTCTACTAATTAATCGATGAAGTACTGTGATCGAAAACGCTTTGTCCTAACTGATTCTAGAACTGACGAGTGCTTACTACAAACTCGAGAAATCAGGGAGGGGAAAGAGGCCAGTTGGTAAGACATTTGGTGAGACAGCAGAACATTTTGTTGTCCTGTATTTATAGCGCAGTTCAAGTTTTCTTATTGTTTTAATACAAACGTTGCTTGGCGCAACATTGCTTTGTTTCGTTGTATTTATGATTATTCACTCCAGGTGCCCTTCAAACCCAGGGAAATCACGACATCATGTTCGAAGATTACAACCCATGTTGGAAGGCACTTCGAAAAGTCGCTCTCCTTGCTGTGAGGTTCGTAATCCACGGCAACAGCTGCTGATTTGCTTTTTATTACAAACCACGATGAAATAACATGCGACTCCTATATAGAGTAAGGGGCACAATTAGAATAAGTACGGCAACATTGCATCCCGAAATCCGCTTAATGCTGATTATGTCACACCTTAAATGTATTGATTATTTCAACATTCCTAATGAAATTTCTGGAATACAATATTACAGCTACGCGCGTAGCTTCACGTAAGTAATCACAAGGCGACAAAATGATCATATATGGCAATCTAGCACAGTGACCGTCAACAAAACGTGAGCTATAGTACTGGTGCCAAGTGCTTTGCAAACGAGTCCAGATATATTCATAAGACACGATTCATCATGTAAATAAAAAGATGTCTCGCTCCTTCGTGAAGCGTGCAGCATTTTTTTTTGTTCTTATTCTAGCTCCAATTTGATTGCAGGAAGTACGCTGTCAGCGAGTCGCTCGAAAAACTGGCGACAGAAGTGGTTGACTCTTACGTGGACTCCCTGGAAGAAGGCTCGCAGATTGTGGAATCGAGACAGCCTTTCCTGACAATCCTCTTCACCCTCATTGGTGTTTCTGTTTACGGCCAAACGTACGGAACATTTTTTTTTTTTTGCCATTGTTTTGCTTTTCTGATCACTACGACTGCTGGGTCGTAAAGTGAAAATTAGTGGAGAACTTAGAAAAAGGCTGGATTAGGGTGGGATTTGCGTTTACCCAGCAGAATCCTTACTAGAATTACGCCACTGACCATTTGAAGATAGTGGCAGTACATGCCACGTTTTCAGTTTGGCTTGAAGGGGCCATGGCACAGTCACCGAAAATTTTGTGGTTTTCAGTGATAACTATGTAACGCCTCAATGCGCCGCTCGTCAAGGAAAAAGAAGTTGGCATTTGGGCTGCGGAGCGGGTGCAGCGAGGGATTAAAAAAAAAATATCAGTTCGAAAACTGAACGCTATCAGGGCTGGATCTTTCCCGTGTTAGCTCCTACAACTAGTATTAGAGGGTGTGCAATGCCTATACAGATTTTAAAAAGTGGGTCGTAAAAGAATATTTCGATGTAAAACAAGTCCTATAGAAGTCACCAGCTGTAAACTCCGGCTACTGCCATTTTGCGGTAGCGCGTGTGACCTCATGTGCTGGAGGGAGCCGAGCTGTCATCTTCTACCCTAGTTTCAGCTATTGCAAATCGTTCAATTCAACTTCCAAGTTGAAGGAAGGAAAGAAGGAAAGCAGCTTTATTTTTGTCCCGCGGAACGCGACAGGGTAGCGCACCCGGCTCAGTCTTTCGCAGAGAGCAGTAAGCCGAGCCCGTACGTCACCTCGCGGGCAAGCTGAAGCCAAATTATCTCGATTTCATTCGCAGCTGACATGGAACAATATCGTTCGCCGGCGCACGGATTCTCCCACAGCTAGTTGCTTGTTACCTGACGGCTCGTGAGTGCGCCAGTTTTGCCCAACCCTCAGGCCGCTCACGTGCTAATAAAGATATTCAATTATAAAAGAACTATTCGACCAAACGCATTAAAGTTTCGCGAGCGCATTTTTTGAATGAAGAGGGATGAAAACACATAACCCAGATTATGATCGAAAAGGTGGTGTCATGCTCCCTTTCAAGGTACGCCCGACAATAATTCTGTTGACGCATTCAACCAGGCAAATAAAATGCGAGGTTCTCTTGAGTGGCAGCCGAACAACGTATAGGAACACGGTTTGGCAAGTTGTATTTGTGGGGCTGCAGGAATCGATTAACCCTAAGTGCGCTAACCTTAATTGGTATTGTGAGCTGACGGGATGCGTTCAATGAGCCAGCTACGGCGATCAGCTAGCTTTACGCGTCAGTAGTTCATGACGGCGTCGTCTTGACTGCGCAGGGTGGAAGAAGCAAGAAGCGAAGTGAAGCGAATGGAGGAGATCGATCGCAAGTTCTTCGAGGTTGCCCCCGATGGTCTGCCGAGCGACATCGCGCCATGGCTGGGTGTCTTGTACCGCCGCAGAGAGAAGGCGATCGAGCGTGTATTTCACGACTCTTTCGAGATCTGCAACAAGTTTTTTAGCGCCGCTGAAAAAACGTACGCCCCAGGTATGTGGTGTAGCGTATATGCAGTAGCTGCAATGCCCATCATGAGCGAATCGCTGTTCAGGCTTCATAATTAACTCAGGAGGAAGCGAGAAAATACTTTAGCACAACCAACTAAGGTTCTCGCATTTTGGAATACCAACAGCCGAATGATTCAAATGAGAGCGAATGAACAAGACCTTTGTGTTTTAACACCCTATAACCAATACTATTTGGCATTAGCTATAACTACAATAGAATTAGAATAATTTTGTCTACACTTGCCAAATGCAGACATCCCTTAACCTTATATATAGACAAAATTGGGCATCAGTTATCTAACATAAGCCAACGTTAGCAGTTATTAGCCATCATTTAGCCGACACTAGCCGATAATAGCCGGTGAAAAGAAGTGCTTGTAGCATGCGAGTAAATTACGCAGGCCAGAGAACTAGTACTCATAAATTCAGGAAAGTGTTCGTCGGCTAGGAAAAAAAAAGGGTTCGCTGGTATATGTCCTATATTCTACAAGGAAACCAGAAACGCAAGCGATGGTAGTAAAAGAAAATCTATTTCTATACTAGCCCTACTACATTTGTAACTTGCACAGCTGCTCGAAGTAGACCGGCTGCTATGCAAGCCATAGCAGAGACTCTAGACGAATAGCTTCAATTCTCATATGAACCCTCTCCCACCTATGTGGCTGACGAAATCTATCTATGCAGAAGTGCGCCAGACACAATTGTCGCCATTTCAAACAAATTAAGGGAGGTCACGAGGTCAATAAGCACTACAATTACTTTTGAACGCGTTGCTTTTTGGCGCTGGTAATATACGGTTGCTACAAGGAAAGCACGGTGAGCCCAGTGCCTTAGGTCTGTTGGTCAGCCTGTGTGGTAGACTCAAACGGCTTGATTTCCTTTTCTTGTTACTTAACAATAAACTCGCCATTGATCCATCACCGTATCTATCTTTCCTATCAACTAGGCAGACCCGACATCACCATCCCAATTTGCTTACCCCATATTTCGCGAGAACTGATGTCTTTATGTATTCTTTCTTTCCACGGACAGTGTCTGATTGGAACAAATTATGTGATCCCCATTCATTGTGAATTAGGTAGAGTGAATCGCATTATGTGTGGTGCATGTTATTCCTCTTTTTTTTGTATGTGATGTGCCCTTCCTGCTTGAACCATTTATGGTTCGCAGTATGTACTAAATAAATAAAATAAATAGGCCACGCAGGTGGTGGGTGCAGATCTCCTAGAGGAACAGGATACTGTAGTTGCAAACTATAGTCGCATACAACTAGAGAATTCCGGAGAGGCCCCGTTCAGGTGGCCTAAGCGCGCCAACCGACAGAAACATTCCCACTCATGCGCGCGGCAATGTTCTTTGATGGCGGGGTTATCGGTAGCCCGTTTCATGACGTCAGTCTGGAGAGCGCTCCCAAGGCCTGTATATGTCCGCCTTTGAACAGGAAGTGCCGCAGAATTCTCACGTTGTATCCCACTGCAGTTGTGCCAAAGCACCGTAGCGCACACTTCGTTGCGGCGAAACACACGCGGCGTCTGTGACAATCGGTATACCTCTCAGGTGGCAGTGAAGTCGACAGGCCTGGTGAACCCGCTATGCGTGCACAACGACACGAGGTACAAAAGGACGTTGACCCATTTTATAAAGCTTGGTTCAAGGTACAAGAAAAAAGGAGGAAACAAAGAAACAAAGAAAAAAACGAGATTTAGAATCAGCTTTTCGCTGATTGGCATGCATGAAATCAACTCATGAAAACTATTGAATATTGTCGACCTTTTTGTTACGAATTCGTTTGAAGGAGAAAGTAACAACATGCTTATTTACACAAGAAAGTTGTCTTCCATCGAACGGTTGTCCTGAACTACAGAAATAAAGGGGACGAGCGTTTCCTAGCAACCAACCTTCGTGGTGGCAGGTAAGTGAGTGAAGGTCGAGGAGTGGGACGTGGTGCCAACGATTGCATCGGTGCGAAATGAAAGGCGCCGAGTGTTGTCATTTGAGTCGCCGCAAAAGTCTGAGTGCTTGACCACGCACAATCGAATGAGTAGTAAGAAGTTACGTGAATGCACAAAGAAAATAAAAAAATAATTGAAGAAGTAATAGCTCCGCTGGCTGGAGGTGCCAGTGGAAGGAACTATTACCTCGAAAAGAGAATGATTATGTTTGTTCTAGCATCGTCACAATAAGCCAAGTGACCGAGATGAAGGTTTGATCTGCAACTTATGTAAAAAATATAGAAGGCAGCCGGCGTACTTCACCTGCAGAATAGATTTCTATGAACGTCAACCAGGCTCACCTTTGTGGCTGTTCTGTGAGTGCTGCTTATTAATCTCCGCACTAGGTTGGCTATTGAAAGGCAACGGCGCTTAGGGTCGTGAATAACAATAATGGTGCTTTTTAGTTAGTTACTGTCACTGCCACATGACATCTTCCCATCAACTATAAAAAAGGGTATTCAAAATATGAGTATTCAAAACTATGTACGCTTTGCCTGGTAAGGTTGACATACAACCGATTCATTTCATCCACATTCGTAGTGGCTTTTTTAATTAATACGTGCAATTTTTATGCAGGATGTCACTTCGTCAATCAAAACAAAAAAGTAGTAGGGTTAGCGGGTAGGGGTTAGTTATCCTTCTATGTTTGTCTGTATTACGCTCTACATTATGTCAGCATAACCCTAGGTTCCTTTTCTTTTATTGTTGTTGCTTTTCAAGGGAAAACTGACAACTTTACTCACGCCATGCTGTCTGCTCGTGAAGATGCGATACGCGAAGAAAAGAGTGATGCTCAGTACCTGACCAAAGGAAACATGGTTCAAGTCGTCTTGAACATATTTGGAGGTTAGTACTGCTGCATATAATGTGTACTTTATTGCAGAGCTTTTTTTTCAGTATCTTTATATGATGACCTATAGTGTACATGTCAGATTTTGTAACACTTTCTCTGGTACAATATTCATTGTAATACTGTTTTGGCAACATCCTTCTTCGTGAATTGATGGAAGAACTTTATTTAGAGTGCTGAGAGACGCGACGAGACCACAGAGGCACCCTGCTGATTACTGTACTGTAGTAGTCTTATCAATTGCAGTTGAGTAGGACATGAAAATCACATCTTCTTTCTTTATTTCAATTCCTTGATCGCTTGCCCCCAGTGTCAGGTAGCAAAACTGGATGCGGGTAGGGTTTATATGCCTGCCTTTCTGTCCTCGCTATACCTATTTCGAGAGAAAAAAAAGACTGGCCACCAAAGTCCATAATGTGTCTCACCTAATATTGTTTCCACGCTTTCGTGTTTGAATTTTTTAGTCTAATGAAAAATGATACAGGATAATGCCATCTCCCCGGACTTTTCCAAATCACCAATACCAAGAGGATCGAGACAGACAAACAACTGAAATGTTCTTCGAAAAGATTTGTGTGTGTGTGTGTGTGTGTGTTGTGTGTGTGTGTTACAATAAAATGTTTCATACAGGCCCCAATTCTTTTGCATTTACTACTGCGACGTATTGCTGCAAAGTCAAGCGAGGTACTGCTGATCACATTGCGATGCTTTCTCACATTCAAAGCAAAAGTTTTGTTCTTTCTATTGCAGCCGGAACTGACACTTCAGCCGCAGAACTTCAATGGCTATTCCTAATGATGGCTAAAGAGCCCTCTATTCAAGAAAAGATTCAGAAAGAAATCGAAGACAACATCGGTAAGAATACTCGATATATTAGACACTTTTAGTTGGGGGTACGTAACAAGCCTCTGTACGCAGCACGTGTTTACGGCCGGGAGAGAAATGTGCGTGCGCAGAAGTTAACATATCTTCTTCATGAATGCGCGCATGCGCACTTGACGCGTACGTAACGTACGTATAGCTCCTACTATGTTGTGCTCTAGCGAGACCTCGAACAAACCAGAAACGAAAGCATGCTAGTTGCATGCACGGGCATTCGATGCAAATGTCAACGCCAAACTTGCTTAAAGTCGTGTCTGTGCTCAATGAAAACCCACGCTGAGATCGCCTACAACATATAGAGTTTCCTATTGGTACACTAAAAGGGACTCTGGCACTAGTATTATGGGAGCTGCAACGCACGGCGTTTTTCAGCCAGAATGGGAATGATGGGTAGTACATAAGTTTGCCTAATCTACGTTCTTTCGGCTCCGTTTCGGGCTACCTGGCTTGGGGCTTCTTTTTCAAGAAGCGACAATCAGCAAACGTTCAGAAGTTGTCCGTCAACACCTTAACTTTTTAAGCTCGCCAATTCAAGCCAGGCCACGAAGTTAACAATTTTCCGTTCTTTTATTGGACACGAAACCGTAACTTAACAGTAAACAAAGCCACGAGTGCGTTCAAAGCCCGCAAGCGCGAATTCGACAAGCCAAATTTGTTTGCTACCCGTCATTCCCATGGTGGATGAATGATCGCAGTGCCAGAGTCCCCTTTAGAAAACTCTATAGCCTACAATGTACAAAGAACCAGCATGTTCAGGCATTCATATCAGTAGAAAAGAATTTCTGGGAGTCTCACAAAACAGAATGCTTTAATTGTTTTGCGTCAGGCTCCTCAGCAAATGACCCCCAAAGTAGAAAGAATGCAAGCTTGATGCGTACTTTGATTGCGTGCTGCAACACGCTGCAACATCGAGCATGCTGCTCGCTGTGCAAGCTTTGAATCCTTGAAAGTATGATAGTATCTGGGGGTTTACTTCCCGAAGCTAAGATATGATTCTCAGAGACGCCGTATCGGAAAATTTCGACCCTCTGGTGTTCTTTAACGCGCACTGGCATCCCACAGTACCGGGCACCAATCATGTTGACATTTTAAAGTGCTTCTGGTCAATAGGAAACTAAAAAATAGCTGCAAGGCGAAAAGTTGCTGCAGCGTATGTTAAGCCTCATAAACAGGAGCGCTGTGCTCCATCCAGCGTAGCTGAGCCCCATCAAACGCCCTTGTTACACAGCGCAAGGCTTCAAAGCTGTGCACGCATAGTAAAATTCTACTTACGTGGCAAAAATCAACGCGAGCGACCTACACCCAAGAACGACGTTCAAAGGCTCACAGCCCCCACGGCAGCCTGACTTGTATGTTGACAGCCGTTACCCGGGTCATCAAGATGTTCATATAAGCGCAAATCATATATAGGCCACATTATTTCGCATACTTCTTACTTAGATGGCGCTGATAAGGACGCAAAAACACTTACGCCTGGAGTACGACTTAACTAGTTGACTGCTATGCATCACGGTACGTTCAAGTAAAGCCTTTGTGGCAGGCTTCACTTGCAGCATATATAACGTATTGTGCACTGCCTATACGCCCACCGAAATGTGTCTAACAACGAAGTTGTATTTTTCCTTCTACATAGCTATACGATAGCCATATGCATCGGATTATATCGATGCAATTATGCTTTAAAGACTGCAAGGCGTTTTTTGAACTCACAAGAGCATGCCCGCTCTGCCAAATGAATTCTTAAACCTCAAATTAGCCCATAAACTTCGAGATATTTTTGATATAGCTAAGCATTCCAGAAAATAAGATTCGACAGCGCACCACGTTTTGTGGATTTGAAAGTTGTATTTTGAATGCCGAAAAAATTGCCACGGTCATGAAGCAATACGTTTTCCAACATATGATTTTGTTGGCCTCGAGGGCCGTCGCAAGAGATACCGGTGCTGATATCACTATGACCTGTTAAATGACATCACGTGACTCGCCTTGGCTGCCGAAAACCACAACAACACTGCTCGCTGCATCTAATCTCCAAGGCTGAAGTTTTGTTTATTGAGCTGTACGGCAGCGCCGAACTTATTCGACCGAGCCCTGCCTGAATTTCCGTGCACGTATACCCAAAAACTAAAAAGGAGCAAGATTCATGCCTTTTAAAAATGAGAATCGGCAAACAACGAATAATTAATTATCGCGCGTGTACCAAGAACTTTCGCAAGGACGTTGAGTGCTATGTTCGATGTAGAATGTTTGGTGGGTATGACAAGGTACACATAGAGATTTAGGAGATTCATGCACACGTGGCTGCAAGGCTTATTCAAGCTGTTTGCAGCACAAGGGCGGCGAGAGAAGTTTTGCCTCGACGCTGTTCTCTTGCATTGCATCATCAAACGCGATTGACCTCGTGCGCTGTCTCTCCTGTTATCAGCCGCGGTGTGATAAGATGCTGGTGCACGAATTGGTTGACAACAGAGAATGGCAGAGTCACTGAAAACAAGATGCGTAATTGTAATTATTATTGCGATATCAATTATATGGGCACTCTTCACTGGATTTTGCCGCCGGCGTCGGCATCGACTTCGATATCGGCGTCACCATCACTCACCGTATATGTATACGTATCTATATATGTCTAAACGCAAGAAAGAAAAATAATCGAGGAAAAAGACTCCGACACGCGGAATCGAAAGTGGCACATCTGAATAATGAATGCGAGGCGTTAACCACTAAGCCACTGAAGAGCACCGCCTTGAAAGCTCAAACGGCAAGCTGTTTATATCTACCTCTTACCGCTGTCGACGGGCATCTCGGGGGGTAGGAAACTATCGTGTTTTCGCCATTACCAGCAAGATGGCGCAATAGGCGCGCGTCGCCACATCTTCACGACGTGGCGGCGCACGCTCTCATCTGCCACGTGTACTTTGCCCCGCGATAAAGGGGGGGGGGGGCGGACGCTCACTCGCACGCCCTTATCTCGCGGTGGGGAGGATGGTACGTCTTGGCTGGCCTTAGGCTTTCACTGGAACGAATTACCGGGCACACAAAGGTCACTGCAATTGTTGCACCGCATCCGTTTGCGAAAAGGGCGCGCTTTTCACACACAGCGAAGTAACAACTGAGACGCTTATTCGCGCTCATCTGCACCTGTGAGTACGTTTCGTGCGTCATTCGAGAGATTTAGTTGCGCGTTCGCAGCAGCGGTATGGACGCAGCCTTCCAGCCGTTCGCAATGGTGCGTGAGAAACGCAGGGCACGTTTCGACCTACTTGCCATTCTGCGCGTGACCTTTAATTTGTTGCAATCATGTTCATTGCCTCGCTTTTGCGGCAAAACTGTGACTTTTTAGTCGAGCAAGTGATGCACAGAAAGTGCAACGAGCTCGCATGATATCACACCCGTCAATGCACCCCGCGCAGAGAAGCACGTGTAGCACCCGGCGCAGATATGTGGGATTAAAAAGACAAGAATATATGCGGTTGAATTATGACGTGTTAAAATATATCTGTTAGAAATCATCGTCCGGCAATGATTCTGGCGAAAGTGGTAACCGCAAAAGCTTTTATCAAAGGTCACACAATAACTGATGTCAGAGCATTCTTTGCACTCAGCCATTTGATTACGCCCTGCAAACTAAGGCGAGTTGCTGACGTGAGTAGCACGTGGTAGTCCACGAAGACCGGAAGATGATCTCTCTCGGCCGCGCACCTTCCGTGCCAAATCAAGACAGCTGCGTGCATTCACGCTTGCCTCAGTGAAAATAAATATACGCGAGATGTGACATGTAACAACGCTTTGAGTCACAGATTACCTAGATGAATTTCATAACCGCTCTCCTTTAACCAGAGTGCCTGATCTCACGTCCGGCGTCCATAGCGCCACGCACACACGCTTGGTCGAGAGAGCACGACGCGATGACCACCGCATGTCGATAAAAAGGTCCGTCGGCGTGCACTATAGGTTGTTTTGCAGCTATAGTACAAACACATTAGGCACTCAAAAAGCGAGAAAATCTACGGCTTAACAGCCTGAACCACTACAGACATCGAAGACTTCGCTCAGTCGGTATAACGTGATGTCGTTTTAGACGTTACGGAGGTGTTCCGGTAGACGACGCCACGGTATCGTCGCCGCCATTAGCTGAATTACTTTCGTTGCAGTTGCATATAGTTATCACGAAGGTCAATAACGAATGTTGCATGCTTACTCGGATGCGTAACTCTGCGGTGGTTTTACAGGAAACTCGCCACCTGTCTATAAAGACAGGGAGAGGATGCCCTTCACGGTTGCCTGTCTGATGGAAACCCTTCGATGTTTCCCTGCTGCTCCTCTGGGCATGCCACACAACACCATGACCGACACAAAGCTCGGTGAGTGAGGGTTGGCTGTGTAGCATCGTTAAGACAACATAACGACCATCAGTTCAAGCTTTAGTAAATAGTCAAATGAAGAAAAAGTAATGTGCCCTAATAAATGGAGATATTTGGAAAACTTCCGCCACATTTTCTCCTCTATTACATCGAAGATTACGGGGCATAAAAAAAGAGCTGAAAGCAAATAGAAGGTGCGTCTTAAATAAATTGACTATCATGCAGTTATGTACACGAATGCAATCCACATCACCACCACTCCTGACTACTGCAACTAAGCTTAAGCATGAGCGCTTCCCAGAACAAACTATAGGCTACGCGAAAGCGGGAATATTTCGTATTTTAAGCACGTGAACGAGGCTCCCTGTTTCACCAAGCGCTTTGTAAATGGCTTGGTGTAATCAAATTAAACCACTAATACTATCTAATTCGATAAAACATAACTGGATAAGGTACTTATGTTATTTCTAACAAGGCTAGGACCGCTTAGAGCGGCCAGTATTCAAATAAATATATTACATATTTGAAGTAGAGATCTGATGCTCGTAGTATTACGCCATTTATACCATCTCTGCTTCGTATTATGACCAAAGCTGTAAATTATCGTACAAGTGTTCTCATACACTGCCGTAATGCCCAAGTTCGTTTGTTAATTTAGGAACAAAGGAAAGAAAAAAAAACATTAAGAGAAACTATCGTGTTCTGGCATATTTTATTGTAAAAACGTGTACGGATGTCAACAGACAGCTAGAGACAGTAATAAGAACCAAAATTGCAAAGAGCTCTGAATAAACACTGGCAGTATTGCCATTGTTCAAGAATGAAAGTGCACACAGTAGCAAGTGCGAAGTGCTTAAAGAAACACCTCCTCAAAAATAAAAAAAAATAAAATGTTTGTGTACTCTGCTTCCTGACCTACGGGACAATTTGCGGACAAGAAGGCTATTCGCAAAAAGCCCGCAGGAAATTATTGGGGGCGCTTACTAACATAACGGAACTGTTCTTTAGAAGGAAATAATACAATGAAATTTTATGAATTATGAATTTTGTGGCATCGGCAAACAACTTCTCTGAAATCAGTGTGCAGGAGCGCTGCAGCCTAACTTAATGCAACCAGCCGCTGAACTTTGTCATTAGACGCATGTTGTGAAGCTACTGAAAACCACCCGGTGCGTTTTGCATTCACGACTATTGCAAGAAAAGCCCGCGTAGGGGCTAGTTGGTTGTACATGGCTGACGCTGATTAAAGCCATAAAATTATAATGTTTCCCCAATCACTTGCTGTTAGATGGCCAGCAATATGAAAGGCGGTCATTCGAGTGTTCCCTTCAACTCTGGGCTCTACTGCACGTATCACAACGTTAAAATAGGGTGAAACATGCGTAATAGCTTCAGAAATTCATTCTAAAAGACAAGGCGTGCTAACAACGCACGCGCGAAAGAAGTCGGGACATCACATACATATTCGTGGTGTCTTGACTTTTTTTCTGGCCTTCGTGTTTACACACCAAGTGTTTTAGAATGAATACCTACCAACTAGATGAGCTGTCTGTTATTTCATGTTCGAAAGATGTGGAAAACACATACGCTTGCTTAAATTCTTGTTTTATATTTTATATTTTACCGTAATCTGTATCACAATTTACCTCAGTTTCCCTAACTTTCTCTTACCCCAGCCAGCTCAAAACGGTAACAGATATTTGAAAGAGAGTCTGCAAAAGCTGAGTCTCCCATCCCTTCTTATGAAACACTGTTCTCGCTTTGTCCTCTCAGAAAGCAGCAAACATCCCTTTGGTTTGAACCTTCATTAAGATAAGCGCTTATTTTGCACAGGACAACTCGGTATACCAAAGGACACATGCGTGCTGTACAACGTGTACGGCGTGAACCACGATCCCAAGCTCTGGGACGAGCCGGACGAATTCAGACCGGAGCGCTTCCTGGACCCCGCTACAGGCAGGCTTCGCCGAGAGCCTCTGCCTTTGCTCTCTTTCGGCATGGGAGCACGCTCTTGTCCGGGAGAGAAGCTGGCGAACACGGACATGTTCTACATCCTCGTGAGACTTCTGCAGCGCCTCAGCGTCAGTCAAGGCGACAAGCCGCCTATGGTGGACGTTCGTAGCCTCCGCTCGAACATATTCCTGTTGCCTGCCGCACAAAATATCACACTCACCAGAAGGAACTAAGCGCTTCGTATAGCGCTACGTTAGGAAAACAAACATGGTCGGGAAAGCAGTCTTCGACGACAAAATGCCTCGGCGTTTCCTTTAGAGATAGTCAGTGAAACACAGGGAGAAAGAAAGAGAGAGAAAGAGAAAGCACAACGCACGCAGAACAGCACTCGAACGGAGCTGTAGCTTCTCCGCTCGGGAACGGCTAGATACCTCAGTACACATGTTTGATGGTCTTAGCCGCCCTTCTAGCTCAGTACAACAATTCGAGCTGGTCTGTATAGAGTAAATAGGAGCAGTACTGAGTCGCCCTTCGTTTTGGTGTCGTTGGATGTCGAATAGGTGATATCTCTTGTGTGCTTGACCATGTACATGCTAAGTGTGAGATGGTTGTTCATTCCTCGAAGTGTGGGCATGTATGTGAGCATGAAGCAGTGTGTATACAGTGAGCATGAGGCCGAAGTGTGGTTGCGTGTTTGTTTATACTTGAGTCATTGCTGCAGTTTCCTGTATGAAATGCAGTCTGGGGTTTACTGCGTGCTTGAGTCTCAAGTGTGTTTGTGGGATCGTTTTTACTTTGCACCGTATACTTCAGCTTCGTCATCCATGAGAGTGTTTTGCGACAGTAGAAGCTTCACAGAATAAAGGTATTATTTTTCCTTCCTTCCTTGGTACTTTTGAAAAGTGAAATATCAGAAAAAAATTATTCGACTCGTTTCACAGGGTGTCAGATCTGATAGATCGGCACTATATCGTGTGCAAGAACTTGTCTGCTACGCTTTGTTTTATTTTATATCGAAGGGTTTGCCAAGAAGCATACAAAGAATGAGACATAAAAATAGTTCGACGGTGCTTTGGTCAAAAACTGAGCAGCGAGAACGCAAAGACATTGGGTGACTTCTACATTGAGTATTGTGCGCTTTGTGATCTAATCATTTCTTTTCCGTAATTGAGAAATAGTTATGGTGGCTTCTTAATGAATTTGCATGTCTTCATAATATGGTGTGACAATAATATTACGCCGTGCTTGAAATGAAGTGTATAGAGGGGGTTTCAAACGAGGCTGGTGGGTAAAAGTGCCACAATGTTCTTGCTGTCTTGAAGTTGCCCTGAATCACTTCTTGAGCATTCGAAAACGGTATCGATAGGTAGCCAAGGTACCCGAAAATTCTCATGCCAAATATTATAGTGCAGCATGCAGTATTAAATATACAATAAATTCTGAAAGTCTGCTAAAATCGCTCGTTTTTCTCTCGACAAATGATCTACCGGCTACAATATCACTGCGTCACAGGCTATAGTATCCGCCATTGGCTGATTTGATTATGTCGTGCTTGGTCGTTTCTGGGGCTGCCGCAGGAGGCCGCGAAAGGTGCTCACATGCGTGCGTGATTGCAATGAAAATGCGCTTATTTCGAGATAAGATAAAGTGGAAAAAGTCGTCAAGGTGACGTAATACCCGTGATGTATTTTCTTCTCCCGGGCCATTCTTTGCTGCCTAACTTACATGGCTTTCGTCTGCACTATATTCCAGTTCACTAGAGTTTGGACGAGAGAAGAGAGAATGCAATTGTTGCGTGTGACAAATATTTGTAACTGCGCTCGTACTGTACAGTACATGAAAAAAAAATCCAGGGGTAAATTCATGAGGCGATATGCTCATTTAGTGAATCGATTCCATGGATACACGTAAAGTGTTGCAGGACTCCTTTAAGACACAAGAAACAAAAAGGGTCCCTTGTGTATTCACTTAGGACAACTCGAAGATGAGAGTCATCTTTTTTGAATGCGGAGTGTCTTATGGTCGAGCTCAATCCTGCATGTGGCGTGACCACCCTTACTGCGCATGCGCGTACCCCCACCCTCCTCTCTCGATTGCCCCTTCCCTCACCTCACAACGCCGATGCGGGGAGCGTCTGATAGCGAGTTTCGTGATTGACAAAACCGACCGCTCGCCCTGCACAACCTTTCACTGGCCACCCAGCACCTATATGGACACTGGATCTTGACCTCCAAGGTGCCAGTGGGAGCCCCGCCGCGGTGGTCTAGTGGCTAAGGTACTCGGCTGCTGACCCGAAGGTCGCGGGTTCAAATCCCGGCTGCGGCGGCTGCATTTCCGATGGAGGCGGAAATGTTGTAGGCCCGTGTGCTCAGATTTGGGTGCACGTTAAAGAACCCCAGGTGGTCAAAATTTCCGGAGCCCTCCACTACGGCGTCTCTCATAATCATATGGTGGTTTTGGGACGTTAAACCCCACATATCAATCAAGGTGCCAGTGGGAGCTTTACCTCTGAGTTGTTGAACAACAATGAATCGCAATGTGTACGTTTGCAATAAGCGGACTGCGGCTCTCTGTGTCCAATCGGAGTCTTCTGTCTTTCATTGCTCACTATAGTGGGCAATGAAAGACAGAAGCCAAAGCGTTGCCAATTGCTTATATAAAAAACAATTGGCAACACCGCGATGAACGCCAGTGTCAGTGCCTCTACCAGTGTAAGCGTTAGCACCTGCTGCTCCGCATCTGCACGATTCCTTTTAGCGGGACATGGTGTACTTTTTTTTCCTTAAGTAGATAAATTCATTACGGCCCGCCATCCTCGAATACTTATTGCACCTGGCATGGCCTTGCATTGCCTCCATGAATGGCCCACTCTTGACCAAGGCTTGATGTCGTGCGATGTCGTAATCTAGTGACGTGACCTCATGGCCCTACGGCCTTCAAGCGACGTGAAGTATGACCTTCAAGCGTCTGCGCACGTGTGAGCCACGCGCTCGAGTTTTCCCCTAAGTGTGAAACACGCTGTGTGAGTGAAATGTTGCTTCAATGAACAGTGCATAAAAGCTGAGAATCTTTTAAAAAGTTGAGGTAGTTTCGCACTATGGGTGCCAAACTTTAAACATATTCTTAGCTGCGCAGCTTTGTTTCTTTTTCTCCAGTTATGTCTTCCTAGACTCCTTACTTTGTTTCTTATTCTCGTTTTACGTCCTTTTCCTCTTTATCCCTATTTATTTCTTCCTCTTTCTATATCGATCTTTGTTCTCTTTCTTGCTCTTTCCAATTTTTTGCTATATTTTCCCTTTCTCTCTATTTTTTTTTCACGCTTGCTTTCTCTTTTTTTGTCAATTTTTATACGTGGTTCTGCCTGCTTTACGCCAAGTGCCCTAGTTGTTCTTTTTTTTTTGCTGAAAACGATAAGGAATTAACATCAAGGTGCTCGAAGAACAACAGAAGAAAGACTTCCCCTTCGCGCGAGCCCACGATCACTTATTATCAACGAGGCGCTCGAAGAACAAGAGGAACAAGGCGTTGCAACGGCGCGAACGCGTGCTGAATATGCTACACATGCAGCGTTACGCCAAGCGGTGACGACAGCATACACACCGCCTCCTTCCATATTTAGAGATCTTCCAAGAGGCACTTCCAGTGTCGGCTCGCAGCGCAGGCTAATGAAGATTCAGCGTATGACGTGTCTGGTCATGGCTAAATTTTATTTTTTTGACACACAGGTGTGCGCTGTCGGGGGGGGGGGGTCGAAGATTTATCGCAGCGCCCCCCCCCCCCCCTGTGTGCGCGCCTTCCTTCAACAAGTACTCATTGAGTCACTGCTACTGTATCTCTAAGCATCAAAACATTCTCTTCAACTTCTTTTCCTTGCCACACACCCACAGCAAACAAAGTAATTGGCTAAATGACAAGAAAATAAAACAGTGATCACTCATCTGTTTAGCGCAAGGTAACATTTAATGCTGATGTTCAAATGACAGGTGTATGTGTTATTTTATTAGAAAGCGTATGAGCGTCTGCCCCGTTACAAACAGTAAAATTTTCCTCCTACCCGGCTCACACCACAAGAAACCACGCAGGCAACCTTCACAATGAATGGAAACATTATGTTCGAAAAACCTGTGAACATGAGCATAAATAATAATCACCATGAATAGTAGTATCGACTATTTCATGTACACACAGGACGCAGTTACACATTGTACAGTAATCGTAGGTGCCGTCCATATAGAAAAGGAGCGAGAAAGACGCTTTATCTTGATAAAAGCAACAGAAAATCTCATAGATGATGCATCGCGAGCAACATTTCTTTGTTAATGTGTTCGAAATGATGTCGTACAAGAGTTAAGTCCTTTCGGAAGCCATATCCAGGTTAGCCGTGGTTACTGTCCGCGAATGCCGACAGGAGTACGTCACCGTCAGTGTCGCCATCTTGTGACTGCTCTTGCTTCTGGCGCGAGCGAACCAGCGACGGAAGCAGGGCAGATTTCTCACCAACGACATAAACGTGCTTCTACTTCCCCCGTGGTGGTCCTTCTGGAAGTACAGAAAGATGTACGGATTTATGGCGCTGTTCGAGGCCGATATGACGCCAGACAGAGCCACTACGTTTGCATTGAGGACGCCCGGATTGCCGAATGCCAGGATGACTTCTTGTACCATGTAGGGTACGTTTGTCACAAGAAAAGCACAGAACACCACGACGGTCATCTTCAGAGTCTTCACCTGCGCAAGAAGGAAGTAAAAAAATTAAGGTAAGAAGACTAATCTTTAGCGCAAGAACTTTATATTCGAAACGTATAGTAAGATTGAGAATCATTTCAGTAACGCTACAACGAAGCTTGTTAATAGTAAAACTGGCACAAAAGATGCGTTAACATTTTTCTGCAAACTAGTACTCGTAATCGATTTATGCTTGCATGACCAAACCAAGCAAGCCTATATGCGAAAAGTGTTTTGCTGAAATGTGGAAACAGTGTTTTGGAGGCATCGTTGCTTTTTGCTGGTACTGGCAAGGCTTTCTCTCATATTCTCTCACAGAAATGAAAGTAATGAGTCATGACATGAGGGTAGTTCATACACTTAACCAGATATGACACGATTTTGAAAAATTGCAAGACAGACGTCTTTTCACTTCTTTGCATGCACTGTTAACGCCTTTCACATACTGGAGCCATAAAACACGTATAAAAATTAGCGTGATTCCATTGTTTTCGTCACCCAGTGTTTGCAAGAGAGTCAGACAGCAATAGGATTTATCATGACGAGTTGACACAGTGCGCTGGGTTTGCGAACTCTTCACCCTGTATGAGATCGACAGTCATGCCGGCAATTCACCCATCGATGTTTACGTTAACCACGTACAACTGACAGGAGACTAGAGTCCTGCTCGTACACCAAGGGTGGCTGTCTCCACGGGGCATACAACGTATCACAGTATGTATCGCAGTATTTACCCGTTGCTGTGATACCGGTCGTCTTCAGGGGCTAGTTGGTTCATTTTAGGCAGGAAAAAAATGCGCTAAAAGAAAGCATCACAAAGAAGGAACGCTTATACAGATTGAGCGAGAACTACCAACAGTTTTATTGGCTGCGGAGTGATAATTAAATAGAGAAACCGAACACGGCTGCGCAGACGCGCCGAGGAACATCAACTGCTAACGCAACTTATTCATCAAGAAGGACACTTTTACACTGTAGCTATACCAAGCCCTCACTTAAACAGCTATCACTTTTCGGGTTCATGAAGAACGCTTCCAAAACCTCACGAGCACACTTGTCTCTGCTATGTCCCATATCTTAGTCTGTTGGAACTGTGCTTAACATCCACAGGCTGCTCAAAGAGCAGGCGAATAAGCCATTGCATTAGCATTTTTTCATGTATAGCTGCTGTTAACGTACGCGGTTGTTTACGCAGTGGCCTGTGAGGTCCACATGTGATTTGCCGTAGGTAAGCGGCATCTTGAATACCACTCCCACATCGCATTGTACCATCGGGTTGACATTCTTCTTGCTACACAGGCTTGCCCGCTCTTCATTGCTTGAAATTCGCGAGCACAACCTCGAAAGTTTCTTAGGTGTAGAAAACACCATGCCAACTCCATGACGGTGGATAACCTTCTTAAGGTTGTGTGTTACCCGGTGTAAATAGGGCAACACTATCGGCTTCTCATCCCCACTGGGCGCGTCTTTCAGCTGCGGCTTCCACGAGCGCCCTTTTAGCTTCTTAAAGAGTGTTTCAGCCGCCGCGCCGGCACAGACTGCGGGAACCCAGCTGCCTTCAGTCGTCCAATCTGAGCACGCAAGCTAGCCAGCCTCTCATGCGAGCACGACCTTACCAGCGCAGAATCCAAACACATTGACACGATCACCCTCTTTACTACTTTAGCATAGGAAGATGTGTACGGTAAAGGCTTGTTTCTAGTGAGTGGACAAAACACTTAACAAGTCTGCTGATGCTTGATTATGAACTTAAGATCTAAAAACTGAAGCTTTCCTTCTTGCGGCCGTTCGTAAGCAAAACATATAGAACCCTCCCATACTTGTTAAACTTATTTAAAACATTGTCCACATGGTAGTTTGTGCTCGTTTGCTTGTCCAAAACTACCAGGAAATCGTGTGCGTACTTGAAAATCTCTTAACACTCCGTCACTCTTACAGGCCTCAAACAGAGAAGGGTCAATGTAGGTTAAAAAAATGTTGCACAAAACAGGGGAAACGCAGGAACCAATATAAATGCCGTCTCTTTGCAGGTAAAAACCCTTGTCAAAACCTATGAAAGCGTGTTTCAGATAAAACTCCAAGATTAACACAATATTATCAACACTCAGGCCCATCGAATTTTGAAAATGAACAGCTAAATACACTTAAGAAGTTCAACATGGGAAAGAGAATAAAACAGGTCTTGTACTTCCACTGATTGATCTGTTCAAGTGTTACGTCTTTGATTGTTTTTCTTTAAAGGCAAATTGTTTCTTAGTCATCTTCGGCGACTTTGATCGTATCTATCTATCTATCTATCTATCTATCTATCTATCTATCTATCTATCTATCTATCTATCTATCTATCTATCTATCTATCTATCTATCTATCTATCTATCTATCTATCTGTCTGTCTGTCTGTCTGTCTGTCTGTCTGTCTGTCTGTCTGTCTGTCTGTCTGTCTGTCTGTCTGTCTGTCTATCTATCTATCTATCTATCTATCTATCTATCTATCTATCTATCTATCTATCTATCTATCTATCTATCTATCTATCTATCTATCTATCTATCTATCTATCTATCTATCTGTCTGTCTGTCTGTCTGTCTGTCTGTCTGTCTGTCTGTCTGTCTGTCTGTCTGTCTGTCTGTCTGTCTATCTATCTATCTATCTATCTATCTATCTATCTATCTATCTATCTATCTATCTATCTATCTATCTATCTATCTATCTATCTATCTATCTATCTCTAGGCGCTTAAGTCTGAAGGCTCTCGTGATCACTCCCTTGACTTGGCGTGGACCAAAAAGAGAGATATATATATGGTATGAAGAAAGGCAGGGTGGTAAACCAGAAAGCAAGTGTCTGGTTTGACGAATATGACGCGCTGCTCAAAACAGAAGTAATGTCACAATCTCGTAATGCACGTCGTGAAACACTTTCCCCCTCTCTCCTTCCCTAGTGCAGGGCAGCCTACCGGGGCTCAGCCCTGGTTAACCTCCCCGTCTTTCTCCTTATTTCCTTTCTCTCTCTCTCTCTTGCTGCCGGACAGTGGCACATACCCGAAGGCGGGTATATGACAGTGGCACATACCCGAAGGCGGGTATGTGCCACTGTCTGGTGGTACCCGAGTGAGGGTATGTGCCACAGGATATTGACACTTAGTATATACCCCGGAACGATGAGAACACACATGGACAATTTTAACGCGTTGCGCGTTAAGAAAAAGCTTATCGCTGACCGACGAATGCAAAAAAAAAAAATGAATGTCAGGGTTCCAGCAGGAATCAAACCCAAACATTTTGCGTGGCAATCAATCATTCCACCACAGAGCTTCGTGAGGTCTTGGAACTGCTTTTGAAATAAACCTTGATGTTCGGGAAACGTCAATTGTGGTTGCAGTGCTGGCTATCCTATTTATCAACATTGAATATGTACTCCTATGACACATTCGTCGCGTCGGATTAACGTCAATAGCAGTTAGGTTCCTTGCGTTGAAGTTAATTTATGTAGCAGTGTCCAGGGCTACCATCCTGGCAAGCACCAGCGCTTCCTATCAGCTTATCGCTTTTGGTGTTGCTAGTACTCATGGTCCTGTTGGCTTTTTTGCGCAAGTGCAAAGAACTTGTTATATAAACATCTGCAGCTCTTCATATGTCTGTGCGTGCAACATTTGTACATATATTTAATGTTCTTTCATAACGTGTCGCTCAATAAGAAAATACAACATGGTCACCTTCCCTGCGCATGCTTCGCATAACGTCGATTCACCAAGTACGTGGTATCTGACGAATTGTTTTTCATTTAGAGGAACAATATTATGAAACTTTGAAACTTTCTGTCAGAACTCTTTTAAAGTAAACATACAAAACCTAACGGCAAGCCAAGCAAATAAATGAAAAATATGAAGACGTTTTATCAATTCAAGAGTCGACCTCTACAAGGTCGAAGTATGTCGAAGCATGAAAGGAGAGAGAGAGAGAGAGGAAACTTTATTAGAACTTGGCCGGCAGCTTGGTCTTGGTGGCCTCAGATGGCGGCGCTGAGTCCCTGAACTCGGGCGGCATCTTCGGCCTGCCGGACAGCCCAGAGCTGATCGTTGAGCTCCGAGCTTCTGAGCGCCGCCTCCCAGCGGCGGCGTCGCCGACGGAGAAGGTCCCCCGCGGCTCCCGCAGACGGGACGGCGGCGGGAACGAGTGAGCTCGAGGCTTCCTGTTGCCTGGTATTGGCAGCCGCCATAGGCGCATCGCGAACGGCGGCCGTTTCTCGACCATTGTTACCGGCGCATTCCCAGAGCATGTGGCGCAGCGTTGCTCTGCGCCCGCATGCTTTACATAGATCGGTAATGTGTAAGTGCGGGTAGCAGTGGCGTAAGACGACCGGGCTGGGGTAAGAGTGGGTTTGTAGTAAGCGATAGCTTACGGCATCGTGTCTGTTTAATTTGTCATGCGGTGGCGGGAACTTTCGCCTTTCCAGTCTGTAGTGTTGCGTAATATCTCGGAACGTGATGAGACGATCACCCCACGACCATTGTGGTCTGTGATGTCGCTGCGTGTCTGTCGAAGTGTCTCGATCCGGCAGATCAGAAGCCCCGTTCTCGGGAGCGGAGGCGGCGGTCACGGAATGTGCCGCGGCTCGGCGAGTGAGACCTCGAGCCGCGGCGTGGGCCGCCTCGTTGCCCGGAAGCGGGACATCGGTGTGTGCCGGGGTCCAAAGGAGGAAGACTGTTAAATTTTGTTGTGGCGATCGCGACGCTGAGTCACCATCACCGCACATCTTAAGGATGCGGGCCGCTTCCCGCGAGACGCGGCCGCGCGCGAAGCCGCGGATTGCTGCCTGCGAGTCGCTGATTACGATCGTAGCGTTCGGCACCGTGGCGATTGCTAGGGCTATCGCGGCTTCTTCGGCCGCCTCCGTATGTCCCGTGGTCACCGTGGCGCTCGCGAGGCATTTGCCCGCACGGTCAACGACCGCAGCGGCGTGTGCGTGTCTCCCGTCCCCATATCTCGCGGCATCTACGTACA